ATTCTTAATTCGATATCAATAGTATGTAAATGTATTTCGTTTGCATGAAAATTTAACTGAGAGACGTATATAGAAGGGGAAATCTCTTTCTACGTACCTCTCAGCAATTATGAACGTGTGAACAAAACTTAATAGAAAATACATGAAGTGATAAATTTAGAACGTACGACAGGGAGCCATAAATATGATTGTGAAAATAGACTCTTTTAAATTAATTATACCACACAAGTGACACAACATATATAAGATAAATTAGGTTATATATAGAACCTACAGCTTCAAAGCTGTTGCCGCCTGCTCCTCCTCGTCGGAGAGAAAGGCGCCTATTCCCACGTTCGTCGGCGTATGCAAACTGGATGGATACGATGCGGGAAGTTGTGTACGTTAAAAAGATGGCAGTTACGCTATGAAATATGCCATCGTCCCATGCTTGGCCCTGCTTGCCACCTGCAGGTCCAGCCTTTATATATATCCTATCACCCTGTGTCAAATCGAATCAAATAATTGAAGTAACATATATACAAATTAATTATTAATGCGCTGCATCAAATCAAATCAAATATCAATCAAATTAATCAAAAAAATTAGTAAAAGAAAATGTAGTACTCATCACCATTGTTGTTGTGTGATGTTATTTTCCTGCAGATAATAATAATAATCTGTGAAGAATGTGAGATGTTAATTTATAGGGATCCTTATCTAAATCTTCTGAGTGGCTTAATCGTTCGCCTTCGCGTAAATTAATGGATCTATGGGCTGTAATTTAGTTATGCGTGTTGGAAGTTAGAGAGAACGTTCCTTCGTCATCTGTGCCTGGTGGAAATTAAAGTGGGTGAAACCAAACGTCATCCTATATATATACCGCATAATTAATGGTTGTATCTTAAATTTTCAAAAGGGATTGATTACGGGGGTGTTTTGTTTCAAATCTTATAATTTAAGGATATGGATTTCACTTTGGAATTTAAAATTCCTAGGTGTTTAATTTGTTATGGGTTAGGATTTCTAAAATATTGCTTGTTACAGATAGTGCTAGTGGGTCATCTCAAACACACGTTTGGATTCGCTACATCCTTAATTTAGGAGCTTTGCTACAGGGACCCAAAATATGGGACCAATAGGCGGGACAAGTGGGGTGTCCCCCTCCTATTAGATAGTAAAGTGGCCATCATTAATGATGGTCAACTCATTATCCAATAGGAGGGGGACACATCACTTGTCCCCCCTATTGGTCCCATATTTTGGGTCCTTGAGGAATTTTTCTTAATTTAGAGAACCCCTACAATTAGTAAACTGGACCAATAACATTACTTCATTTAGTGGGTTGTACTATTATTAAATTTTTTTTCATATAATTCTATATCTATTGTAGACGTCAAAAAATGCTTACAGACATCCAAATACCACTCAAGACAAAGAGAAGGTGATAAACACCAGTATCTAAGTCATGGGAGATCATACAAGCCCAAAGGAAGCAAAAGGATCTATGAATCAACACAAAACAATGTGAATTCACAGAACAATGCAAACTACAGCGTGTGGGCGCGGCAGTACATAGTGCCGCGGCTGAGGCGCGGCAACCCAGGATGCCGCGGCTGAGGCGCGACAACCCATGGTGCCGCGGCTAAGACGCGGCAGCCTATGGTGCCGCGGCCAAGGCGCGGCAACCCATGGTGTCGCGGCTATTATAGGGGGTGCTGCGGCGGTTACAATGCAGTTATATGATGATTTCTTGAAGCCCACGGGCGGCATATCAGAAATAGAACGTGTGCTGACGTGGACAAGCAGTTAAACCACGAAAAAGGTGGTTAAAGGTCGTGGGAGAACAGTTTCAAATACGAATGAACGTGGGTGTAACTGCCCCTTTAGCCGCGGCAGTGTCGACTGCCGCGCCCTTTAGCCGCGGCAGTGTCGACTGCCGCGCCCTTTGGCCGCGACAGTGTCGACTGCCGCGCTCTTTAGCCGCGACAGCATCAACTGCCGCGCCTAAAGGGACAGTTGTTGATCGGTTATTTCTTCAGTTATCGTCCAAGGAAGGCTATAAATACCCCCCTATGGCCATCATTGACAGGGGCAGAGCATTTCCAGAACACCCCGAGCAGATTAGAACAGAGAGGCTTGAGTTTTGGTGAATTAGAGCAAGAGAGAGAGTCTTCCTTCTTCATAAACATCCTCAAGAAGCTTCTGGCGATTCCTAGAGATCTAAGCTCTGACTTGATCTTTAGAAGAGTGAACATCTTACATCGATAAGATATTCGCTTCAAATTCTTACTTCGATAAACGAAGGAAGAATCATTAAACCCCTCACGGTTCAATCAGAATCTGTGATTTGGTGGTCCACGAGTCAAAGCGCTCCCGGCACAGGCAAAGATCCCACGCAAGCAGCGATCCAAACAACGATCCTGCGTTTGTTTCTAAAAAGTTGTAATTTTCCTTTTGTTGTGTAAAAAAAGTCTTATAAAAAGACTATTTCTTTTGAATTTATTGTAATCGACCGAAGATATAATGAATTCCATAACAAAACCAACTTTTGACGCAAACAAGCTGGCGACCACAGTGGGAGCCAACGGTCTCGCTGCCGAGACCGTCGTGTCGCAGCCAATCATCAAGATCCCGGTTGAATCCATGGTCGAATACGAATTCGACCAAACCAAGTTTGAGGAATATCTCTCATCATCCTCTTCAAGATCTTCATTATCTCGCAAGTACAAGAGGATCTCACAATTGAGGAAGAGTTGCATGCCAAAGAAGGCACAAAATGAAGACTCTCGCCTGATTGTTGCTGAGGAGCGAGACAGTCTTTGCTGTCTCGCCCACGCGAGACAGTCTTTGCTGTCTCGCCCACGCGAGACAGTCTTTGCTGTCTCGCCCACGCGAGACAGTCTTTGCTGTCTCGCCGTGCGAGACAGAATTTACTGTCTCGCACGTGAGACAGCTTTCAGATGGTCAAAACTACCTTTACAACTGCCCTACACGTGGCCACTAACTGTTCAAGAACGTGGGAAACGTCGTGGGAGAGAATCACGTGGATAACTGCCAAAATAACGGAGTTTGAAACGTGAGAAGGCATTACTGTCTCGCTGGGCGAGACAGCAAACACTGTCTCGCCCAGCGAGACAGCAAATACTGTCTCGCCCGCCGAGACAGCAAATGCTGTCTCGCGAGCACTGTTCATCCAGAGGGTTATAAATACCCCCGAAGGCCATTTTCACAGGGGGTTCGGGCTTCCAGCAGAGATCCAGGGCTGATCATTTTTGAACACTTCAGAGCAGACAGAGCAGAGTTCTGGGGCCTTCGGCAGATCCTTGATATTCAGGCTTTGACTTGAATTCAAGAAGAACGACTATCTTACCTTGATAAGATATCGTTTCAATTTCTAACTTCGATAACGAAGAAAGAATCATAAACCCCTCACGGTTCAATCAGAATCTGTGACTTGGTGGTCCACGAGTCAAAGCGCTCCCGACACAGGCAAAGATCCCACGAAAGCAGTGATCCAAACAACGATCCTGCGTTTATTTTCTCAAGAGTTGTAATTTTCTTTTTGTTGTGTAAAAGAGTCTTATAAAAAGGCTGTTTTCTTTGAATTTATTGTAATCGACCGAAGATATAATGAATTCGACAACAAATTCGACTTTTGGCGAAAACATGAAGAAGACTTACACGCCAAAGAAGGCTAAAAGTGAAGACTCTCGCCCAATCGTTGTTGAGGCCTTGCCTCGCAACATTATCCCGGCGACCCCCAAAGCCGGAAGCTCTGCTTGTAATGATTCCACCCTAATTAAGGAGTTGTTCGATCGAAGTTCGCTAACTCTGACGAAGAGGGCTCGTCAGAGGCGACGCCAACGCCGCGCTCGTCAATTAGCTAAAGCCTTAGAACAAACCGACGAGGTTCATTATTGTGCGGACCTAGAGTCGAGGAAGTATCGAGTGGTTCAGTTGTCTCTACAACCAATCACTCATATCTCTGCTAAATTGACAACGGATGAATGGACTCTTGTCAAAAGGGCTCGCTCAACCCTCAAAGAACGTACACAAAAACGTTATGTAAACGCTGCTCATGACCGTGCTCTCTCACAACAAAGACAAGAATGGAAGAAAGAAACGGTGGCTAAAGAACCATCAAAACTCTACAAAGTTTGGATTCCAAAGTCTAGAGTTATGCAAAATCAGTATTTGGAGCCCGCTAAGACTCCGCACCCGCAAGGGAGTGGTTCTAAACGTGTGACTCCCGACATAACCTTGGATCGTTCAAAGACAATAATAAGTTGTCCTGAAAATGCCAACAATGTTTTATATCCTCAAAAGAAAACATGTCCGTCAAAAGACATCGTTATACCTGGGGGGTCATACCAACAGACGATAAGATTTTCCGGCAATCATACCGATGAATCATACTATCAAGCTGGGGGTATGAACAAAACTCGAAAGAGAACTGTTCGGGAAATGAGCTCTCATTGTTCCTGTGCGCAACTCATTAGAGCAATGCTATCAGAATGTGACTGTTTCAAATGAGGAGTCATCCCGCAAAGAGCCTTCGAGCTCCCGAAACTTTTCACCGAAATGTCGAAGCCTAAGCCGAGACATTTCCGCAAGAGAAAATTAGCTGTCTAAGATGATGAATTCCCTGAAGTCACCATCAATGTGGCTGATAAAAGAAAGTCTAAGCGGCATTCAAGTGACTCAAATCCCGACTTTTCCCCGAGAGGAAAAGTCAATCCAAGAATTGCTCAAAAGATGTCTCGACTCCAATTAGGAGCCATCAGACGCAGAGATTACAAAAGAATGCAGGAAGGAATGTCCTCGGAGGATGAATTCTCGGACACTTGTTCTGCAATCGCTTCTGATGATACAATGTCTAGCATGGGACAAACCAGAGAAGTACTCACGATCACCTTTGATCAATTTGCTCAAATGCTTCAAGAAGTTCTAGCGAAATAACGTGAAGAAATTAGAGCTGAGATGAAGACAGAGATGGAGTTAGCTATACAACAAATGAGAGAATTGCTAACTCAACGGCCTCAACCTCCTGAGTCCAGTCAACGAGCTGAATCCAGCCGCCACACTCAGAATGTGGCAGATGATAGTAATCCAGAAGTGGATGAAGTCATTATGGCTGATACACCTCCCAATAGCAATAACGCTGGGGGTGGTTTAATGCACCCTCTCAATAACGATATTGGGGGTGGTTCAATGGCACCTCTTACAGGGGGTGGCCTAACTCATTCTCCTCAACATCCTTCGAATGAAGACATAGACGATGAAGAGAAAATGAAAGAGCTTGAAAACAAAATCAACGCTTTGATGACGGCTCAAGAAGTGAAAAAAACGGGTATTCCATGTCCCTATCCAAGAGAATGGGATTCAATACCATACCCGACAAAATTCAATCTGATTAACTTCACACCGTTTGAGGGGAAGAGTTCGCCGATTCAGCACTTGATTATTTCAAGTCTCATTTGGGCATGATCTCTGGAAACGAGGCTTTAATGGTCCGATCATTCGTTGGCACCCTTCGTGGGCCCACCTTCGATTGGTACCGACGGCTCAACCCAGGGAGCATCAATTGCTGGGATGACATGGAAAGTTTGTTCCTCGGTAACTTCTTCGATGATGATACCGAAGTGTCAGTCGGAACCCTTTTGGATAAGAAGCAAAAAGACGGAGAATCTATTAATAATTTTGTCAAGCGCTTCCGTGACAAAGCAATGAATTGCAGAGA